AGATTAGGAGTCTGTGCGTTAGGGTAGCTTGCCCCTGTGCCGTACGGAGGAAAAGGGCTTTCATCTCTTGGAGTTCTTCTCGTACGCCTTCAGCGTCCTTAAGTCTTGTAGCCATTTGGTCTAGGTTTCGTCGGAGTAGATTATTCGTTGCATTAAGTTGGCTCCAGCTTTCTGCGAGCTCCTCGTACGTCGGAGGCCTTGGCGGGGCGTTACTAGGTTCTGGGTTTGGCATAGGCTCATGTAGCCCCATCGTTATATCTTGTTCGTTTTGCATTCTCAATTCTCTCTCGCTCCGTACGAGAGAAAAGAGTAAGAAGGGTTAAAGTGATCTTTTAGCTTATGTTATGGGCGGAGAGGCCTAGCGAACGAGTATGCTTCTACCTATCGTACAGAAGCTAAAAGATAAGAAAAAGAGAAGATAACTAAGTACAGACTTCTCTTATACCTGCTCGCTTCTGATCACGTGTCCGTACAGAAGGTATATCACGTGGTCGAAGATCACGTGATCCTCTTCAGTAGAGATCACGGGCGCAGCCCTTTACATTATCTTAATTTAGTAAAAGTTAATGTCTAAGCGTAGGTGCTATAGCCGTTGGTACATATCTAGTAATACTTTATTACTATTATTCTTATAGGCGTACATCTTACTTAAGCGGCTAAGTAGTATAGATAGTACGTTAATCTACTTCTATACTTCTGCTAGGTTATCTCGTTAGGTTTTAGGTAATTCTAGTATTGCGCTATCTTACCTCTTTACGTAGGGCGTAGATAGTCTATTTTCTTCTTAGAAGTGTACTATCTTTTTATATTTAGACGTAAGAGGTTGTTTCTCCTCTAACGTCTTGTATTTCTTCTTACTAACTAGTTTAGCTTTAGATATATTTTTAGACGTAGTTAGAGTTAGCTTATCTAATCTACTAATAACTTCTATATCGTCTAGGTAGTATATAATATCTAGCTAGATAATAACGTTTTATAACTTATCGTTATCTAATTTTAATTTCTAGTATAGAACGTTAAGCTATCGTTTAACTATATTTTTACTCTAATAGTTGTGTACTATATAGCCTTCTTTACTATATGCGTAGTAATTAATCTTTTTCTTATTATCCTTATCCTTCTTATAATAGGGCTTACTAAGTTCTTTTCTCTTATTTAAATTATTAAGATATATAGGTTCGTACTTATTAGTTATATATACGCTAGATATTGTAGGCTAATAGCTTCTCTATTACCTCTAGTTAGGCTATAAACGCTAGTAGTATAATTATTATAGCTAGTTATTCTTATTATTATAGTTTCGCGTTCTCTAATTAAATAGTTATTCTTCTAATATAAGCTCATAGAGTTTATTTTTAAGCCTAATAGCTTCTTCTATAAGTTTATTAAGGTTAGTAATATTAGTTTTACTTCTTATAAGTTCTCTACGTATTATAGGTTTTAGGCTCTAGCAATATATGCGTATAAGAGCGTTATTATCCTATTTAATATACGTAGTATACTGCTAAAATTAAGTAGTATAATTAGTAGTAGACTTAGTTTAGCGTAGAGTCTAGATTTTCTATTCCGCGATTAGAGATTTCTTAAAAGGTAAGAAGTTTTATCGTATCTTAGCCTTAAAAGCCTTCTAGTCTTTAACTAGAGCGGTATTATTAGCATTAATATTAGATTTATCTATATAACGTTTAATAATAGAGTTAGACTATTTTTCTACGTTACCTTAGTAGTAACTAGTAGCTAAGATAATCTTATCGTTGTATTTAATCTTATTTCTAGCTAAGTAGAAGTAATAGTTAACCTAGAGAAGCTAAGCTTTAAGCTTATTATAATTGCTATAGTAAAGGTTAGACTTATAGGCGTTAATTATAGTTTCTCTAGTCTAAGAAGTAGTTAAAGTGTCTATTATAGTATTACTTATCGTAAGAGTATTTAAAGTATTAAGAGTATAGCTTAAGTAGAAGTAATATTAGACTTCTAGTATTAAGCTTCTTATTAGTTAGTTTTCGCAGATAGAGAGATAGTGTATAATAGATAGTAACTTAGGTAAGTATAATGTTATATTATACTTATACTTATAACTTAAGTTAAATATATTAAGCTATAAGGGCTTAATACCTAATACTACATACTAGAGCTTTATGCAACATACATAGTTACTTAGTAGTGCTAAGATATACTAATTACTAAGCATCTTATAGATTACGTAATACACTAGTCCTAAATAAGTATTTCTATTTCTTACTGCGGATTCGCCGTCTTATAGATTACTTATTAAATAAATATAATAGCGAAATGTCCTCTATATTCTAAGGCTAATTATAATACTATTCTTCTTCTCTTATAACTTATTCTTAAGGTAATGTACGGCTTAGAGTTTTCTAGAGAGGTATGTTACTATAATTCTATAGTTGCCGTAAGTGGGATATTTCTAAACGTAAACTACTACTAAAAGAAATAAGTTATTATAAATAAGAGGTTATTATTAACGTGGCGTTTATATAAGCGCTGTGTTTCTAAAAGCGTAAGGTTTCTAGGAGCGTTTTATTCCTAAGAATACTAGATTCTTAGAAACGTTTAGTTTCTAGGAAGACTGAAGGATAGGTACTTCTATCTATAACAGGCTTAGTCTAATAAGTACCGCGTTCTAAGAGTGTAGTATTTATTACGCTAGCTTAATTAGGTTTCGGCGTAGTAGCGCGCTATAACTAGGCTTACCCTGCGTTATAGGGTCTTGTTATCTGCCTAGTTTCTTTGTTATACCTAAATAATAGTCTTTATCTAGTACTATCTATTGTTAAAATCTTACTAAGTTTATCGATTCTTTTAGAAAAATTATAGTTTAGAAGTGTTCTACTTATAAGAAGAATAAGCGGGTATATAAAGTATATATCCGTTCTAGAAAGTATAGTAAGTGTCTTCGTCGTAGCTAGCAATATAACGTTTAAGTTACTAAGTTAGAGTTTAAGCGTCTTACTATTAAAAAGGAAAAGTTAGAAGCTTATATTAAAGAGAGTTATAAGGCGCAAGATGCTGCGATAAAAGCGCATAAGGCGGCTCTAGCAGAGTTACGAATATATTATACTTAGGAGTAGTAGTTGCGGCTGTAAATAAATTTATTAGAGAAGTGGGCTAAGAAGGCGATTACTATAGAGAGTTGCGAGCTTAAAGAGTTAAAGTAGAAAAGCGTCCTAGAGTTTAACGGGTCTGATCTATTAAATAACTTATCTTCTAGTACTTAGGGTGCCTTCGCGGATCTGCCTCTAGATTATTAGGATTCTCTTAATTTAAGCTTAGTTACTTCTAGTTCTAGTAGTAACGTGCCTATTTCTAGTAGTAATTAAGGTGCGTAGTATAATTTTCCTTAGTATATATTACGTTTTATTCGTTATTTTATTAGCAGCTTAACTATATCTTCTAGTGTTAGGAGACTTAGTTAAGTTATAGTTTTATCGTTTTGTTTAAGTCTTATTATCGTTGTTAGTATTTTTAAATTTTTTATTTATAGTTAGATAGGTTAGATTCTAGTTCCTATGTGTTCTTACTATCTAGGTATTCTAACTATTTAACTAGGTATTCAGTTTTATTATTTTTTATTTAATATAAGACGATTCTCTTAACTTTAAATTCGTCTTCTTCTTTAGAATTATAATAGAATGTTTCCTATAATAGTGTTTTAGAAGCTGCTAGTTCTAATAGTTATACGTAGAATCTTAGGTGTATCTTTATATTAGCTAGTAGGTTAAGTATATAGATTATAGGTCCATTTTATTTTAATATTAAAAATAGTCCGACCTTAACGTAGTCTAGTTCTTTACTTAGTTATTTAGTGCGAAGGTTCTTTATAAGTAGATATACTTTATCCCTCTTCTTTAGCTAAGGTGCTATTGTTCTTTTCTTATTTTAATAGGAAATGCTTTAGCGTTAAGCCTATTCTAGTAACGTTCGTAGTTCTTCGTAGGTTTTCTTTAGTTATTTAGCTATTACTATTACTACTTCTATTTTCAGACTTAGGTATATTCTAGTAAAGAAATTTAGATGTTGTCCGTAGTTAGCGAAAAACAGTATTTTACTTATTAATTCTAATGTTTTGTTGTTATATACTATTTGTGCTATAGGTAGTAACTATATCTAGTTATCTTATTATTAATTAGTATAGATCCTAAGATATATTTTTATTATTCGATTTATTCGTTCTATCTATCTATTAGTTTATAGGTAGTAGGCTATTAATAGTTTTCTCTTAGTTCTAATTACTACGAGTAGCGTTGTCTAAAAGTTAGATATAAATTGCTTATCTCTGTCGCTAATAATAGATTTTAGTATTTCGTAGTATTAGATAATTTAGTTATAGATAATATATACTAGGTCTACTACTATATAGTCGTTCCTAAATAGAATATACTCTACTTATTTCGTAAAGTAATCTACTACGATAAGTATTACGTTATAGGTAATCTTAGTTATTAGATCTCTTAAAGCTAGTAATTCTATAACAAAGTCTATAGAAATATCCATCTATAGTTCTTATAGCAGTTCTAGCGCTTATATTTCTCTATACAGTGCATATATACTATATTTATTCTTTTAATAATCTACGCATTTAGCGATATAGAATGCGATCTTATCCTTTATTCTTTTAAATTAATAGTTGCGCTAAATTAGTTCTATAGTTCTGGCGATTCCTAGGTGACTATACACGGGATCATTATAATATTCTTTAATAATAGTTTATTATACTTCTTTCGGTACATCGTTCCTAATCTTTATAATAATATTAAGTTCGTGTATAAGTTCTAGAGATTTATCTTTATTAGTTTTAAGTATAAGTCTATTAACTATCGTTTTAGTTCCTGCGATGTCGTGCCGTTAGCTAAGAGTATTAGCTCTTCTATTTTCCTTTCCTAGAGTATAGATAATCTTAAACTTATATTATTCTAGTAGTTCGGCCTATCTTATTTATCTTTAGTTAAGTATCTTTATTATTATAAAGTGTACTAACGTAGTTGTTACAAGTAACAAGAAAGACTCTCTCCTTGACAAATGACGAGATGGCGAAGGCCTAAGGACGTCCACGTCAGAAGGTAATGATTAACGCGGGGCGTCGATCACGTGACTTGGCATCCCGCCAAGGCATGGCCTCCAGGAGGCCACCGCATAAAGGGAAGCCAACGTCCTCCCAAACCTCCCGCCAAGATGGGATGTCGGGAGGACAGGACAGGAAGCAATAAGGATATAAGGATGGATGGATTTCATTATTTACTCTCGTTGTGGTTAACTCAAATTGTACTTTCTTACTAGTATCTTTACTTAACAAGATTGTTACAAGTTAGTCTATCAAATAGATTAGTCTTATCAAACCCTCCTTAAGCACGCTAACTCCACTGCATCGCCAGACAAGCCTCACGGAACACTAACGTAATACTCACCTACCTTAGTGCGGACTAGAATAGAGAAGTATAGACTCTTACCCCGTGTAACACTTTAACCACCCACGGATCTAGTAGAAGGAGGATTAACCAGCAGCGTCTGAATAAGATTAAACTATATTAGGAAATTCAAGCGAATATATTCACATCCCAGGCTCAGCGCCTAAGAGAGATGTCAACATAACTAGTAGTACCTAAGGGGGAAATAACGAGCCGGTAGCAGGGAGCCCTAAGTACGAACTCATCAATCTTAGACGTGAGAGCTAAGCCTAAGCAAGGCAGATAGCTAAGTTGCAGAATACGATTAACTAACTTATAGGTTAACTAATAACCACCCCGAACGAGAAACCACTTAAGAAGCCAAAAATAGCAACCCTAGAAAAGTACAATAGAAGTCGCACTAAGTTGCGGACATTCCTTACCAACATTAACTTATACTGCGAATTTAACGAAGTACCTAACGACTAGGAAAAGATCCTCATAGCTAGCACCCACATAAAAGGACGAGCGTTAAGCTGGATGCAGCCATACGTGGAGGACTATCTATTAAATATCGAGAATAGAGGAACGAAGAACGAGACGCGCGCCTTGTTCACTAGTTAGGCCGAATTCAAGAAAGAGATGGGACACATCTTTAGGGAAGTAGATGCTTAGAACCAGATAGAGAAAGCGATAACTCGCCTAAAGCAGACTAGTTCAGTATCAGCGTACACAGCCGAGTTCAAGCAGCTACAGGCACGAATCGACTAGGACGACGCAGCACTTCGAACGGTATTCAAAGCAGGTCTAAAGGAAAATGTTAAAGACGGACTTATACATCACGACAAACCAAACACGCTTTACGCGCTAATTAAGTTAGCAACACGCATTAATAATAGGCTGTGGGAAAGAAACTAATAAAAGAAATAATTTCAACCCACGATGGCCAACACAAGGAAACAGCGTAGCTAGTTCAACAAGGATAGCGATACTATCATAACCGGTAAGGTACAAGACAAGTCTAAGGACAAGAATAGAAAACCCCGAGAATAGTATAATAACGGACTCTCCACAGAAGAACGTAAGAAGCGTTATAACAGCAAGGCATGTCTCCGATACGGTGAAGTAGGACACTTCCGCAGAGATTGCCCAAAAAACGAAGTCAGACAAGGAGCGGTCAAGATTAGAATAATTCGGATACTAACACCATACCCAACTAAGGAGCTAGATAAAACCCTCAGCGACCTAGACCTATACGAAGAAGCAAGACAAGCCACCAACGAGGCCTTTAAGCTAGTACAAGAGGCAATAGGACTCTAAGACTTCAAGTAGGACGCACTACTACCAACGGATTAGCAGATTAAAGGGGCCGAAGTACTATACCGCCTAAGAAACCAACAGTGCTAGATTTGCGGAACTAATGCACATTAAGCCAACGATTGTAACATCAATGGACGAGTTACAATCTCGGGACCCCGAGCAGATAAGATTACCTACAGGGCTGCCCAGGAACAACCCAGGTTCAAAGAACCTGATGACGAGGAGACACCTCGGACGTTTAAGGAACGGATAGAGCAATACGAGCGCCTATGTTAGGTCGACTACCTAAGACAGTGTAATTACCACTTAAGGAAGCGAGAAGAGACCAGAGACAACGAGGACAATTGCTGCCACACTAATTTATGGCATAACGAGTGTCGCGTACAGCATTACCACATGCACCAGCCCAGAGAAAAGAAAGCTTACGAAGAGCTATGCTGGATCAAGTGCACGATTAATTACCAATTCCACAAGGAACAGCGACGGAAAGCTAGAAGGGTAGACAACTACTACTATAGCACGATTTCCGCAGAGAAATACATAGCGAAGAACTACAGAATGCATAGAGCCTAAGTACGGGAAACGCCAGTAGAGCATAGTAAACTCCTATAGACGCATTGCAGGAAAGGTTATGCTATGCACTAATAACAGTTCGAGAATACTCGACAGGTAGGCAACCACTACCATAGCATTCTACCAGCGAACATTTGTGAGGCAAAGAATTGCCCGATTCATAAAAATAAGAAGCTGGAACTAAGGAAGAGAGCTACGCAACAGAAGATACCTTATAAGAATATCCATTAGAGCTTCTACTACAACGATCAGTATACGATACACTATTCCGCCAAGGTAGGCGAAGGCTACTTCCCAAAGAAGAAGGGAAGTAGGTAGTTAAAAAACTAGGATGCCACCAGGGACAGGGTCACGCTGGCAAAGGCAGTTCTAAAACGACCCTTAAACAAGTATAGGAAGTGGGAGCAAAGAAATTGCAATTAAAAGCCACAGTACTTATAGACGGACACGAGGTATTAGCGCTCATAGATAGTAGGGCAGCACGAACCGTCATATCGCCACGAGTAGTAGAAGGAAATAACATACCCTATCAGAACAAGAAGGTACCGATACGAGTAGTATTAGCTGACGACAGTCCCACAACATACGGGAACGGCTGGATCCGACTTAAGACCAAGGCAGTAACGTTACGCCTGGCTGGTCAAGAAAGCCGAGAAAAGATTAGCATTATAGATCTTAGAGAGACCGAGATGATAATTAGCTACGATTAGTTGTTAAAACACAACCCTACCATTAATTAGCAAAAGAAGACATTACTCAGCCGAGAGCCTGTGCACAAGGTTGCTAGAGTAAAACACGAGACACGCCCAACGAATCAGCGCGCAACCTAGAACGGGAGATTCGGCATAATCTCACCATATAAGATCGCGAGAATCTATACAAAGGACCCTTAGAGTATAGGAGTCATTTAGATACGGTAGATCGCGACCATAAAGAAAGGATTAGTACTACAGTTGGCGATTCCAACAGAATACTAAACGGACGAGTTCAGAGAACTATTCGAGGAAAATAAGGCAACGGACCTAGCAGACCATCAGGATTAGGATCACGAGATCATCCTTAATAAAGGAGCTAAGTTGAGCCCAGGACTAATATACCCTATAGCGCCCGAGCATAATGCTGAGCTGCGGGATTACATCCAAAAGAACTTAAAAAAGGGATTTATCCGACCGGGATCAGGCCCGATAGCCTCACCCATCTTGTTCGTAAAGAAACCTAACGGGAAGTGGCGACTATATGTCGACTTCAGAAGATTAAACAGCGTAACTTAGAAGAACTAATATCCCTTACTACTTATTACAGAGCTCATAGATCGACTCTAGGGAGCCAAGTAGTTTACGAAGTTCGACGTTCGGGAAGGATTTTACCAAATCAGGATTAAAGAAGGTCACGAATAGATAATAGCGTTTAAAACGAAGTACGGACTCTTTAAGTACACGGTTATGCCGTTCGGATTAACGAATACGCCGGCAACCTTTCAATCAGTCATTAATAACGCTCTCCACGAATACCTCGGAATCTTTATTACCGCGTATCTAGACGACGTACTAGTATACTCCAGCGGCACACGCGAAGAATATATCGAGCATGTTAAGAAGGTTTTACGAAAGCTTAAGGAATATAAGCTATACCTTCAACTAGGAAAATGTAAATTCCACACATAGGAAACGGAATTTCTCGGATTCATCATATCAACTAAAGGAGTGAAAATGAACCCAAAGAAGATACAGACTATACAGGAATAGCTAATACCCAAAATAGTTAAGGATATTCAATTCTTCTTAGGATTTGCGAATTACTATTAAAAGTTCATTAGAGATTACTTAAAGATCACAGCACCCCTTACGGAAGTAACGAAAAAGGAAATAGGTTTCAAATAGGAATAGGAACATTAAGAGGCTTTCGATCGAATTAAGCAGATATTTCTAAAGGCGCTAGTACTCGAGATGTACAGCCCTCAACAACCCACCAGAGTCGAGACCAATGCGTCCAACTATACACTCGGAGCTGTATTATTATAGTAGTGCCCAGATGGGAAATAGAGACTAGTGTTCTACTATTCACGGAAGTTCTCTGGAGCAGAACTTAACTACGACGTTCACGATAAGGAACTACTTAGAGTAGTTAATGCCTTTAAACAATAGGAAGTGTACCTATTAGAACTCCCTAAACAGATTGAGGTTTTTACTGATCACCAGAACTTAACGAGTTTTATAACAACGAAAAAACTCAACCGACGACAAGTGCGATAGGCAGAGATACTAGCCCAGTTCGACTTTAAGATTACGCACCGCGCGGGAACGCTCAACGGAGCAGTAGACGCTTTAAGTAGAAGGTCTGATTTACGCAAAAAGGGTTATAAAGAACTATATAACGCCTTACTTAAGACGATGCCCAATAGCAGTCTAAAGTATAACTAGCCGGAACTAGCTAAGGTAGCTAAGGTGGCCGAGTAGGTAGAAACACTACAGAAATAATGGCAGAAAAAAGCAACGTTATGGGCGTCAGAAACAGACCCCTACCCGCCAGAAGTAACAAACGATAGGAAAGAGCTCAAAGCTCTAAGAGAATGTACAAGCACGTACATACCCCTATATATAAGAACCGAACTCATTAAGACTCTGCACGAGTCCCCAGAATATAGACACGCAGGTGTGGACGAAATAGTTAGACGACTAGCTAAGGTGTTTGCGATACCACGCTTGCGAGCGAAGGTACAGGAAATACTAGGCAACTATTTAGTATATCACTAGAACAAGCCTAAGAGACATAAGCTCTACGGCCTATTACAACTCTTACAGCCACCATCTAGACTATAGACAAGCGTAACAATAGACTTTATAGTGAAGCTCCTAAAATTATTAAAACCAGGATTAGCTCAATTTTGCGACACTATCCTAGTAATCGTGGACTAATTAACTAAGGCAGCAAAGTTCGTGCCTACAGAAGAGACTATTACGGCAGATAAATACGCGTACGAAGTCACTAAAGCATTAGTGTCAGAGTATAGAATACCTAAAGAGTTCATCACCGATCGTAATAAACTGTTTACGTCTAAATACTAGAGCACATTCCTAGCAAAGTTAGGTGTTAAGAAGAAGCTTTCGACAAGCTTTCACCCGGAAACAGACAGCCAGACAGAACGCACGAACCAGACATTAGAATAGTACCTACGGATATACACTAACAAATTGCAGGATAACTAGGTAGAGTTACTACTAACAGCGCAATTAGCCTATAACAGTATAAAATCAGCAATGACAAAGTATTCGCCGCACTACGCGAACTACGGATATAAGCCGACCGCTCACCAAGATCCGAAGGACATCGAAAGTATCGCGATAGGAGCAGACGACAAGGCGAAGCTCATGCGAGAATTATATAAAGAATTAAGTAAGAATATAGCTTAACGAAACCTTACGACATCCAAAGCAGCGAATAAACTAAGGATTAAGGGACTAACCTTTAAGAAGGGGGACAAAGTTTTCCTATCAAGATAAAACCTGAAAACTAAACGACTATACAGAAAATTAGACAACCTCCGAATAGGACCATTTAAAATCCTAGAGGAAATAGGAAAAGTAAACTATAAGTTAAAACTCCCATAAGGCATGCGAATCCACCCTGTCTTTCACAAGAAACTCCTAGAACCAGCACCTCCAGATACCGAGCTAGCAACGGACATAGAGCTCAAAGACGATAAGTACGAGGTCGAGGAAATCAAGAACCTACGAAAAATCGATAGTTAGTAGAAGTACTTAGTCAAGTAGCAAGGATGGCCCGAAAGCCATAACACTTAGGAACCTAAAGGAAACTTAACGAACTGCAAGTCACTAGTACGTAAATACCACCGGAGGCACCCAGAGAAGCGAGGGGAAGCCCCTTAAAAAGGAAGGAGTAATTAAAAGAAGGATCGAAGGAATCAGCCTATAACCAGCCCAGATTAGTCGATAACTTAGATAGCAGTGGTTCGACAACAGAAAGGCCCGTACCGCCAGGGGCTAAGCTCCCCTCGGCCTGCTCCTTCGCACGATTCTATAGACTCAAGATAGTATGATTACGATCGGCGTACGACCGCTCAAGAGCCTTAGTCTTAGTAACCTCCAGACGAAGACGCGCAACTTCGGCCTCAGCCCGCAGAAGAGCTAACCATTTTTAACGCTTATCTGCTTCCACCTTTTCCCACTCCTTCTTAGTCACGAATAAGCTATATTTAGCTTTCACAGAAATACAACTGGCATAACGCCCCGTAGCAGTGTCCACGAAACAACGAAGGCCCTTCTCTTCATAACGTTTATAACGAAAGGTCATTTCGTTCCTCTATAATTAAATACGGTCAGCACAAGCCTGGCGCTGTTAAGTTGAGTTCTCAGAACGAACGCGACGGGAAGACTAAACCTTAGGCATAGTTAGAAAGGCTACGAGGTAGAGACGGCTACAACGAGTGGGCGGGCTCTGACCTTATATGCAGCCGGCGTCTCAACACGCGGCACGGGAAAACAATATTCCAGAGTATCGAGACGATAGCCCTAAGAGGGGAGGTAATGTTACAAGTAACAAGAAAGACTCTCTCCTTAACAAATGACGAGATGGCGAAGGCCTAAGGACGTCCACGTCAGAAGGTAATGATCAACGCGGGGCGTCGATCACGTAACTTAGCATCCCGCCAAGGCATGGCCTCCAGGAGGCCACCGCATAAAGGGAAGCCAACGTCCTCCTAAACCTCCCGCTAAGATGGGATGTCGGGAGGACAGGACAGGAAGCAATGAGGATATAAGGATGGATGGATTTTATTATTTACTCTCGTTGTGGTCAACTCAAATTGTACTTTCTTACTAGTATCTTTACTTAACAAGATTGTCACAAGTTAGTCTATCAAATAGATTAGTCTTATCAAACCCTCCTTAAGCACGCCAACTCCACTGCATCGCCAGACAAGCCTCACGGAACACTAACGTAATACTCACCTGCCTTAGTGCGGACCAGGATAGAGAAGTATAGACCCTTACCCCGTGTAACAGTAGTTTACAAGCGAGTAAGCTATACAAGCAAGTAAGCTACCTCACCAACTTTACGCACCTCTCTTATTACAATATACAATAACTCTACTAAATCTATCCTAATACGTCTCTTATAAGGCTAATATATACCTTATACTATTAGCTCTTAAAAAAAGTTAAGTTTAAACTAAAAGGCGTACTGCAGCTACGTTTAATGTTTTATGCGCTACTCTCCACCGCTAACGCGCTAGTAAGCCTACCTAACGCGATTGCCAGCCTAACTTAAAGAAGCTTACTAAGCTAGAAGAGGAGGTAATTATTAGCTATATACTTAATCTTAATCTACGTAGATTCTCGCCTACCTACGCAGCTATACGCGATATAGCTGATAGACTTCTAGCTACGCGCGGCGCTAGCTAGGTCGGCGTCTACTAGCTGCGTAACTTTATTAAGCGTATAGATAGTCTTATAATGCGTTTTAGTTAAGCGTATAATAGGTAGAGAGCTCTATATAAAGATCTAGTCCTAATTAAGAGCTAGTTTAAGCTTATAGAGTAGACAAAGGCTAAGTATAGTATCTACGACGAGGACGTCTATAACTTTAATAAAGCTAGCTTTATAATAGGTAAGATTACGACTTAACTTATGGTTATAGCGTTAGAGAGAAGAGACCAGCTAAAGGTAGTTAAGCTAGGTAATTATAAGTAGGTAACGCTAATTATAGTAATTAACGCAGCTAGCTAGTTAGTCTTACTATTCCTTATATTCGCTAGTAAGTACTATCTATCTACTTAGTATAAGAAGGTAGAGATCCTACGCGACTAAGCGATCGCAGTTAGCGATAATAGCTAGACGAATAATAAGCTAGGCGTTGTATAGATAAAGCACTTTAATGCCCACACGAAGACTTACGTTATTAGTATACGTCGCCTACTTATTCTTAACGGCTATAAGAGCTACTAGTCTCTAGAGTTTTAAGAGTTCTGTAAGAAGAATAACATATATACGCTCTATATACCGCCTTACTTATCTTATCTACTCTAGTCTCTTAACGTTAGCTGCTTCTCGCCGTTAAAGCGCGCGTACAGCCGTGAGGTGGAGAGCCTAATCCGCTATTATATTAACTACATCACTAAGCTTAAGTTTCTACTAGCGTTTAAGGTAGCGTTCGATCGATCCTTCACGCTATCTAATATCTGCTCTGCCTTCCGCGGCGTAGGCCTTATTCCTCTCTAGCTAGATACTATTCTATTAAGACTTAATATAAAGCTCTGTACGCCTACTCTACTAGCTACTCTAGAGGCTCTCTAGTAGGCTTATACGCCTAGCAACACACGTGAGCTTAAAGCTTAATTAATATTAATACGTGATCGCGTTTAGCGGCATTAAGGCTTATCGCTAGCTTTAATTATTATAGTAATTAATTAGCTTAAGAAGGGGGCTAAGGTAATAATGCTTTTAGCTAAGCTAATACGCAATTAGATAGCTAGCCTTAAGAAGGCGAATAAAGCCGTAATAAAGCGTAGGTGTCACGGCGCTGGCTGAGTGGCCGGCGCGCGATCGTCTGATTGGCTGCCGACAGAATCCGGGTGAGGGTCCGAGCACCCGGATTCTGCAAAACCGCCGCAACTTCACTAGTGTAGCTCTTCGAGCTACGTCCTGTCTTCTACTCTATACTACCTGTAGTGAGAGCCTGTTGATTAGCTGTAGCAATAGAACCTGTACACGCGCCTGTCCTCTCTGCCCGTGAGCCCGTACCGTGACATTACGTAGCTCCTCCCCACAGGCCCGTGTATTTCACCGCCATGAACCGCCCCGAGCCCCCCTCCTTCCCAGAGACGCCTGACGAACTCACTGCTAGTGTAGCAGCGCATCCAGGGGAATGGCTAATGTACTTACGCAACACTGCCCAGTATACCCAGAAACTCGAGGAAAACCACGCCGCGTCCCAGGACCAGGAGCAGTCTCTGCGGATCCAGGTCAAGGAGAGAGAAGCTGTCATTCAGTACCAGAAGGAG